GAGAAGACCAGAGACTCCCTCGTAGGCCCACGGACTCCGCGACGACTCCAAAATCGTCATATCTTGTAAAAGTTTTATGAGAAAAAAATTGTAAAAAACGGCACGAACTTGAAACAATATACAGCATATAAGGCATCTATTAATAGAATATCTTATATGTAGAGGCCTGTACATGACAGATTGATTTTCTGACAGCATTTCATCAGAGCAATACCGAGATTTAATATTGCTACTAATTTCTAATAAAATGTTGTCGTGAAATTATTGTGGTGTGACCGGTAGCGCCACCGGTACTTAACAGATTGATGCATTCTGGCCAATTATATTGCGCGTTTTTGCGTATTTATCGCACAGGACCCGATCCGAAAGTCCCACTATCGATTGACATGGCTGTTTTTGGGGATAGTTCCAATTGCACCGCACATTCGCTTCCTACTTCTCTCTACCACCGCTGCTGTCATCCTCGTTTGTCAGACAACACGCCTTGCGATGCTCAAGAGGGAATTTTAGACCTCATTTAATCGTGGTCATAAGGTCCAATTCGGCCTGGTTGTCACTGACCGTGCAGGCGGTCACGTGCCAGTTCTACCTAGAGCTCGAAAAGGAGGCGAAACCTGGTGCCATGCGTAAGCGAATGTCCCACACACAGTCATTCAAGACTCCCTTTCGTTGTGTTGTGTACATTCCTCACCATCAGACTACACACCTTGAGAAACATGCGAAGTTCCAACAGCTCACAAAATCTGAGACATCTAGTTACTTCTTCATGAGTTTGAATCGTAACAGCTTTCTATCAGCCCGCTTCGATAGCCATAAAGTTCTGACTATGTTATTCAACCGCAGATTAGTCGGTCCACCTCACTAGTGCGCCCTGTGTTTAAATTTTCAATGACGCGACATCGTCAAGGTGTATTGGATCAAGATCGAGTCTATATTTCGATTTTAAAATAGTCTTGGAAATCATTTCGAAGGGAGCGTCGTTTCGAGGTGCTTCTAGATTTGTTGACGCTACACAGGAAGGCAAACGCTCATCAACTTGCAGCACTGCAGTGAAGCCATCTTTTACACATCTGCACTGCCAGTTTACAAGCTATTTTTTAGGCTTGATCGTATCCCGTGCGTTCGACATTGGGTAAGAACCAGGAATGTCGTATATGAATGTCCGAACTCTCTTGTGAACAACTGCCGAAACTCTGGTCACCAATCATTTGATTGCTCTACTGTTATACCCAATCAAACCGTCAGACGTAGTTCAGTATGGCGTGTAAGCCGCTTGTGGTGGAGCATGAGAATTTCCGTACGGATATAATTTGGGCGTGCAAACTCGAATTAATCAGGCAGCGACGTGTCCTTTGGTGCGTGTTTGATGCGATTTCCACCAGATTAACTGTGTCTCCCAGAATCGATTGCAGATGATATATTCTTGACGACTCTACCTGGTTTACTCGCGTACCTTTGAAGGCACCGAAATCTAACAGCCGAGATTAATACGACTTGTCCCAAATTCGTGAGGGCTCGCTAGTCGTCGATGCAACGAGTCACAAAATGACTTGTCAATCATCGTGTGCGCGCTTTAAAATATTCACAAGAGAAATGTGCAAGTCCCCCGTCGACGGGTGAACAACGGCATTGTGCCTTGATGCCGTCGCAGTGGTTTTAGCTAAAACGTGTTCAAGCCTGCAAGGACTGAGAACACTTCAAAGTTGGCAGCGAGTCGATTCCACCTGTTCTTTTCAAACTTTGATGAGTTATAGGTCCCTTTTGAAGAGAGTTATTGCTGAAGCCAACTTGGCTGTTGATCGAGTCTGTGGTGGAGACTACACGCTGGTCTTCGCTGATGCTCTGATTTTATTCGCGATCAAGGCATTCGATGTGATTGTTATTGCCAATCTGTTCGCGGACATCGAGGGATCTTGACTGCTCGAAACTTAAAGATCATGGGCTTTTCGGCACCTTTATCAACAGCCCTGCCTCGTTCTCTGATCAAAATACAGATGATATTGCTGAGTGAGCCTCTCCACCAGTACGGGTCAGAGTCAGATCGACTGATTCAAACAACACCACTAAGACCTCCTTTTTGCTTAAGAATACCTTTTATAATTGTTCAGACGCGATTACGAGCTTCAACGACAGCTGAGCACTGCGCCATGACAGTTTTGACTATTAACGCCGGCTTGTAGGCTGTCTGCCTTACTTGAACACTGCAACCATGATGGCAATGTACTCGCTGAGTGATTACGATAGAGACAAGTATTGCAACTCGCTGATCGACAGCTCATTGAGAAAGGTTCTGCCTTCTAAGTACTTTGACACTTAACACATCTTTTTGAGCTAGCAAAAATACATCCAGACGTTATTTTTGATAAAGCAAGCCCCACTCTTAGCGTAATAGTAAAGTGGTGGATATCACTATGAAAGTGGCTTGTGCATGTCTGGTGAGAGCCGTGCCGAAACCACCTGTAATCCTATAGTTATATAATAGATGCTGTTCATAAACTTCTGGCTATGCATTCGTATTGATGGGTAGGCCAGCCATTTGAAGTAGCAAAAAGCAGTCAAGCGTGTCACAGTCACTTATCGAAGCGGTATACATAGCGTTGAGTTTGGCGGTTCAAGAAGGCAAGTGGATGCATCATTTACTGTGTGAGATTCTACACGCGGCTAGTGAGTCTCGGTACCACTCATCTGCTTGATATTGACGAGTATGACGAACAACAAAGTGTGAGTTCTGCTCTTCGTCTATCTTGACGACGGAACCACGAAGAAGAAAAAAAGAGCGTCATGATGGTTGATACGAAGAATAAAGTTTCCTTCAAGGAATGATTCCTGCATGCTGGATGAAAAAGACAAGATCACAAGTGGCAATTTCTTTTGACCATATCAGATTCGTTTCAGACCACCCATCACTCTAAATTCCTTATTCACCATACTAAATTTTTTCTGACCATCCAAATAATCGACATCTAGATGGTAATTTTTCCAGTAAAACCTACTGGTATTTTGTATCAATAAGGTACAAATACCGGGTCAGGATACCGGTAAATCCTTTGTGTGAAAAAGATATCAATCACATTTCAGAAAGCTTACAGCCAACAATGCACCAGTTTCTCGCTCTGCTTACTATCATCACTCGGTCTGTAGTTGCAGAAGATTATCCGCTGCCAGTATCAAACTTAGTGAATAATAAAAGTCAATATCCAGCGCAGGATCTCGCTCACATAAGAGTCAACACATCTTTAACTCGTGGATTTCCGATCAAAAGAAGCACTACAGACGAGGAGAAAATGTTGGATCTCCGTGGTGTCGAGAAAGGTGCACAAAGCATTGCTTCAGGATCGCTTTCGAAGATGTTAGAAGCGTGGAAAAAGATTGTGAAGGTTGGGAAATGGAAGGATCATCCAGCGCAGTGGGACACTGGAATGATCGAAGATAATAGCATTCAAAGGAGTGAAGGAACATTAAATCGGCTTCAAGGCAGAAAGAAAGACAAAGTTTTGCGGAATAAAAATGCGCTTTCTACGTTCGGTGGATCGTTGAAGCTATCTGATCATGCTCGCGGTCCTGACGGCGTGAACGCTCCATTTAATTCGAAACATTACCTGAATCTCGAACAACAAAAGCTTATCGAAAAAGCGTGGAACTGGAACAAAATGAAACATGACCTCACCGCATCGATCACTCCGCAAAATCAGTATCGTTTTCTAAAGAGATGCTGGCTTAACGGTGTCAGTCCTCATATTATTGAGATGGTGCTGAAAGACAAAGATGGATTACTTGACGATCAACATCTGGAGATGGTGGTGCAATATATTGTGCAGTACAATAAAGCAGTTTATGCTGGCTTGTTACATGCAGTCTCATACCAGCTTTATTTCGATACGAGTGAAATTATAATGTTTGTCACGCTATCGCCCGTCCTTGATCTTGAGTTGCCCCAACCTCAACCACTGATCCCCGACGATGGCTGGGCAGCCGAGTTCGGAAGTGTACCGGATATGACGCCTGATGGATTCATTGAAAAATTGATGCAATTGAAACATGGCAAACCCACAGATAACAGCTTTATTCTAACTTACATGCCAAAGTACGTCTGGTATTGTGAAAACACTGTAGCATCCCGAGATGGACTGGACAAGTATGGAATGAAAGCACTTAAAGCACTTTACAGTAGTTCACATTTGGTAGACGATGTCATTCCAACATTGCTCAACGGAAATGCTCAGTCAAAAGCAACCGACTCATTATTGGTCTCGTAACTTCTCTTTCGCAAGACAATATGCATCCAGCTTATGTTCAGAAGATTCTCACCCGAACTGCT